GTGACCCAAGTGCAGGACCCAGCACTTAGCCTTCTTGAACCTCATACAATTGGCCTCGATCCATTGATCCAGCCTGTCCAGATCCCTCTGTAGAGCCCTTCTACCCTCCAGCAGATCAACACTCCCACCCAACTTGGTGTCGTCTGCAAACTTACTGAGGGTGCACTCGATCCCCTCATCCAGATCACTGATAAAGATATTAAGCAGAACTGGCCCCAGTACTGAGCCCTGGGGAACACCACTTGTGACTGGTCACCAACTGGATTTCACTCCATTCACCACAACTCGTTGGGCCTGGCCATGCAGCCAGTTTTTTACCCAGAGAAGCGTACACCAGTCCCAGCCATGAGCAGCCAGTTTCTCCAGGAGAATGCTGTGGGAACCCGTGTCAAAGGCCTTACTAAAGTCCAGGTAGACAACATCCACAGCCTTTCCCTCATCCACTAAGCACGTCACCTTGTCATAGAAGGAGATCAGGTTAGTCAAGCAGGACCTGCCTTTCATAAACCCATGCTGACCAGGCCTGATCGCCTGGCTGTCCCACCGTGCTGCATGATGGCACGATGATCTGCTCCATAACCTTCTCCAGCACCGAGGTCAGACTGACAGGCCTGTAGTTCCCTGGATCCTCCTTCTGGCCCTTTTTGTAAATGGATGTCACATTTGCTAACCTCCCCCTTAACTGGGACCTCCCGTTAGCCAGGACTGCTGATAAAGGATTGAAAGTGGCTTGGTGAGCACTTCTGCCAGCTCCCTCAGAACCCCTGGGTGGACCTCATCTGGCCCCATAGACTTTTGTATGTTTAAGTAGTGTAGCAGGTGGCTAACCATTTCCCCTTGTATTATGGGGACTTCATTCTGCTCCCCATCTCTGTCTTCCAGCTCATGGGGCTGAGTACCCCGCGAACAACTGGTCTGACTATTAAAGACTGAGGCAAAGAAGCATTAAGTACCTCAGCCTTTTCCTCATCCTTTGTCACTATGTTTCCCCCTGCATCCAATAAAGGATGGAGATTCTCCTTAGCTCTCCTTTTGTTGCTAATGTATTTATAGAAACATTTTTATTGTCTTATACTGCAGTAGCCAGATTAAGTTCTAGTTGGACTTTGCCCCTTCTAATTTTCTCCCTGAATAACCTCAAGACATCCTTGCAGTCCTCCTGAGTTGCCTGCCCCTTCTTCCAAAGGTCATAAACTCCCCTTTTTTCTTGAGTTCCAGCCAAATCTCTCTGTTCAGCCAAGCTGGTCTTCTTCCCCACTGGCGCATCTTTCGGCACATGAGGATGACTTGCTCCTGCACCTTGAAGATTTCCTTCTTGAAGAATGTCCAGGCTTCCTGGACTCTTTCTTACCTACTCCACCAAAACCCACAGGTTTTGGGTCATAAGGTTCACATAGCCAAGACCTTTACAGAACACAAATCAGAAAATTTCAAACAGCGCTTCCTACCTGAGCCTCCCTTTTGAAAAGATCAGCAGAAACATTATTAAACTCAGCGGAATCCCTCAGGTGCCAAACTAGCACCATGCAAATAACAACAAAATACAAGCTAGGATATTCACTATCATACTAATTCCTCAAATTCACCTGTTAAACATACATTAATAAAAGACAAGCTTCCAGCTTTGAAAATGCTAGGTTTGTTCACCCCTTTCTCCTAGTCATCTATGAAATTATGAGTCCCAAAGAGACTTGAAGTATTTGTTCTCATGACATTTTTTTGCCTGATCAGAAAGACAAAGTATACTGAAAGGTTTTGCATATAGCTGAAGCACTGAACAACTGCTGAGTAAGCTACTGGCTTGTTTTATCTGCATGAAGGCAACTGAAGAACCAGCACAGGACTCTGCTTTAACAGGCTGTCCAACACTCATGAGACTCTTCTACAGTCTTGTAACTTTTCTATGCAAACACAAGGACAGCTGCTCCATCTATTTCTCTCCTTGCTCAGTATCTCTTCGTGTGCCTGCTGACAAGTAGCTACTGAGGAAAGTTCAGTATCACAGACTTCTTAGTAACAGTCACAGGTAAAAGTTCTCCTGTTTGACAATGTATTTTCCAGAAAAAGATTCTAGCTATCCTGTTACAACTACATGATGGCATGTCTGATGTTCTAGGCATACTTGCTTTAAAATTTTCCAAACTGAAAGCTGTCTGAAAGACCAACTTTTTTTTTTTCCTGAAGTCAATGGTACAACACTTTGGGATCTGACTCAGGATGATGCTCCTAATCACTACTGAAAGAAACAGAATCCCAAAAGTCACAATATCCAAATAAATCATAAATATCTATTCCATGTGCCAGCCATATGTTTAGGAAGGATGCAGGTTTACTTCAATATTATTTTGAAGCCAAAATAAGATTGCTTGCCCTTCCCAGGAACTTACAAAAGGTACACCAAAGCCATG